TATGAATGTGTATTTTTAGGAGTGTGTTCCACTGTGTTTGTGTGTGTGTACCTGGACTGAATAGCGAGGTAGATGGTTCTTCTGAAAGCAACCAGGTTGACCTCTGTCTTATCAAAGATGGTGACTTTCTCATCTTAGAGGGAGACAAACACAAAGGTCATCTTTAAAAGGGAGCTGATTGGATGTGTTAAATGTGTTAAAATCAGAACAGGAAAAATGTTTAAAAATCAAAATAGTTAAATGTTAACACAATCAGTTCTTAATGAAATATCACCTGAGTAATTATCGTTCATTAGTGCAATATAGGATTTACATGAACCAATGATGCAAGTAATCTAGTTTAATTGGGGTCACACAGCATGCACTTCACTTTTAATAATACTCAAACTTAGTAATTACTTGAAAACAACATATTTACAGTGTGGTACAATAACGGTTCATATATAGGTTACGTATTATTTTTGTAACTCATACATTTGGATAAAGTCCAGGCTAAAAATTTGTGGTCTGGTTCTTCAGTTTGATAGTCAGCTGCAGTTTGCTTTCCTTTAACAACTTTTGCTAATCGGAGCTGAAATTAATTTAACCAAATTAACTAGCAGGTATTTCTGTTTGTGTAACACCCATACAGTTTATGGATGAAGCTTGCTAAACAATCTGGCTACCATTAGCACACTCTTGTTTAGATATAGTCACTCCTGGGCAGGAAAAAAACGGCAGCATAGCAGTGCCTAAAATGCTCATTGACTCATAACATTGATGTTATGTTTTTAAATGCTTTACTGTCCGTTCTCCTGTAGCTGCTGTACTCAGAACTATATTTAGTTAGTGCTAATGCTTTTAGTGTAATGCAGTTACAGGAAAAAAATGTATTAAAAAAAATTACTCAGCTGCTTTTACTGGCAGCTAATTGTTTTAAATATTCCAAGAGGTAATGAGCCATTCGATGAAAGTCTGGAGGCAAAAAACTCCAAACAAATTTCTCAGCAAGCTGGCCAACTCCTTTTACAGAGCTCTGCTGTGTTTGGAGAAAAAAAAGCCTTAAAAGTGAAAATAATCTGGACTGTCCAAGGCATGACAGATAATTGGAAATTACAGAAAGATCCTCAGTACAACAGTTCTGTTAGCTGGTTATACTGAAGCTGAATCTGGACTGAACATCAAGCAATATTGCCCTAGATATTTGTCTTTGCTTACAGCCCTGGAGTCAGAATCTCCCTCCATTTTCAAGCTTATAAATTATATTTCTAATGTTAAAATAATTTATTATGGAACAGACTTGGGGGTTATTTCATGATACCATCTTTCAAAAAAGTCTTTAGTCTAACTATTTATTATTTGTGATGTTTAGAATAAATATCACAGTGTTATTTTGTCAGATATCAATACAACTGTTTTCACAGGCCAAGTGTTTAAAAAAACAATAAAAAAAGCAGACTGACTCTTTTAGGCAAGAAAGCCTCAGCAGATTAACGTATTTGTCTCACCATCTCCTTCCTCCTCATTCTCATCTTCATCATCATCGTCATCATCATCACTGCCATCTCCCTCCTCCCCTGAATCGCTGCTACCCTCATCCAGGATATCTGAAATGATGCACCATCAAACTTTGGTTAAGCTGTAAACGAGCAGACAGGTGATTGGACAGTTCAGAGTGTGATGATTTCTTACCTCTTTTGAGAGTTTTATATTTGTCCTCATTCTCCAGGAAGTCTGGATCCATCTTAAATACATCTAAGTGAACAAACACACAAAGACTGTAAACATTTCTGAAAAGTCCAGTGACTCCTCCCTTCCTCCCACTCTCCCTCAGGTCTTACTGAGGATGTCCTCGGGGTTGTATTCGTCATCTAGCGGCAGCATGTGAGTGAACTGGTCATCCTCATCCACCAGATCCAGGCCTTCTGGGATTACTGGATGATCTTTGAAACCATCTTTCCTGATAGCAAACATCACCTCTATCATGTACTGGACCCTTTTGTCAATGGTCGACTCGTGGAGGACATTCCTAAGACGCTCAAATATGGCTGAAAAGAGAAACGGAGAATGAGCATAAACTTTCTGAATTCTGAAATTCAGAAAAATTTATTCTCACAAGTATTTCAAGAGAAAAGAGATGACAACGCGAGGAGAAATAAAGTCTCTTAGCAGTTAATACTGTTGTAATGAAGCAAGAAAACTCCGCTTTTTTGTGTGAAATCACAAAGGCAAAAGTAAATTCTCAAGTTTCAGGAGCTCAGACCAAACAATGTTTGAAATGGCTGCAATTTAAAGTTTTAACTTGTTATCATTTGTTGTTCTAATTAAAGAGCTCAGCCTACACCATCACCTCCCACCGTAAAGAAAGAGACAGTTATAAAGCTGCTGCTTCAGCGTACCGTTGATTCCTCGAGGGGACACTTCGGTCAGCTTGAGACCACATTCCTTCAAGAAGGAAATGGCGACCTCCACACTGTCATCAGTTGGACGCTCGAGCAGCAGAGTGAGCATCTCCAGACACAAAACCTCGTGGGCCTGAAGGAGAGTGACATCAGAGCAGAAAGGGACAGAAAAAGCACGCACCCAATTAGAATCTGGACGTCAACACTCGAGCCCTCGGTCAGTATTTAACTTTGAAATCGGGACCTACCACGTTCTGGTTGATGAGATGAGCCACGAACTTCGACGCGGTCAGGCACTGTTGCTAGAAAACAAAATGCAGATTTTAATGCATGACTACTGCTGATAATTACTCAAACACATTTAATATCAGTGTCCTAAAAAAAGACATTTCTGCCTGTATTTGTTACAGACAATTTAATTTTGTACAGATTGTTCAAGCCTTCAAGAGATCATACTAAAATTATCCACAGCAGGTAGAAACACACTCTGGACTGCGTACACAAGCTTCCAGTACTGCCAGTTATTTCTCTTTTTTAGATCCAGTTTCTTTTTTATCTCAGTAATTTGGACACATGCGGCATCAGTCTGCTCAAATTGGAACATTTCCACCTCTGTCACTTGAGAAAGGACTTTTAGATTCAGACTGATTCTCATTCAAAACCTATTCTCAAATAAATAAACAGAAAAGGAGGCCTATTTTTAGCCTCTTACTCCAGTAATACGCAAAAACAAGCATAAGTAGTAGAATATGCAAAGTCCAACTGATGAAGGTCAAACAGACATTTGAACTGCCTCATGTCCCAGCATAACACACATGCTCACAGCACTTGCTGTTTGTTATAATACTGTAGACAGAAGTTTCCAAAGTAATAAATTTTAGTCATAAATATGCAAATGAATGCAGCAAGGTGCTCTAATATCTAATCCGATTATCTCCTTAACATTCAGCATCTGTGATTTATATATGACATGCTATTCATGAGTCACTGTGTTTAGCAGTGGCAAGATATAAAAAGTTATATTTTTAATACAGGTGCATCATTTGGAGACATCTTATTCTTTGTCTTAATGAGAAGAATGACATGAAGGTGACTGTTAGGTGTTATTAATGTTTTGTTTTCTGCTGCAATTTTCCTGAAGTCACCGCCCTTCAAAACACAAAAGTGAGCCTTTGGAAGTGAAAGAGACTGCGCACAGGGTCATCCAACCTCAATAAGTTTCTAAAGTGCTGCAGTGTGTATTGGTCAGATGATCTTGTTTACTAGTCCTGGACTTCAATGTTCAGATGTTATAAGTATCTGGGCATCTACGTCTGACAGTAACACGTCACTATCACTGTTTGTGGATCACTAATCAACGGCGACAGACAGATAGGTACCTTGAGGTTGCGGCGGTAGCTTCTCCTGAAAGTCAGGATGAGACGTTTAAGGATCAGCTCTCCGATCTGAGGGAACTTTGAGTTGATGATGGCAACAACAGCAGCGTAGACATGAGTGAAAATGGGAGAGGCCGTCTGAGCCTGCAGTATCGAGCGAGCCAGCAGTCCCCTGACAGGCAAAGGAGCAGTTACAGGGAGTGCGTCAGTCACGAAGGTCTTTTTTCACTCTCTTTAATCAATCACACTAATCTGGAAACTTAAAGCTAATAAAGTGTTTGATGTCTGTGCAAAAATTACAGGCCTCTGCTGCACAAAGCCTTATCGTAAAATGTACACAAATGAATGCATGTGTGTGTGTGTGTTCACCTTCCCCTGACGATATTTTCCTGCAGCAGCTCCTGGATGATGTTGATAAGGTTGGATACGTTGACTTTGTTGATAAGACCATTGATGGACTTCTTTAGAGCTTCCCAGCTCATCCTCTGATAGGCCAGGCTGTATAACAGACAGGGTGTCATCTATTACATGCAGTTCTTTAAATAAACAGCTTTTTTTTAAAACTGCAGTTTTACTGCAGGTACATTTGTAATGAATGCAACTGATCTGATTTGTTTTACCACTGTCTGTTATGCAGTTAGGTGCAGGAACATTTTATAGTTTGGCATGGTGATGTGTCCAAGTATCACAACAGAATAAAAAGAAAAAAAGTGTTTGAACACTTCTAGTGTAACAAATATAAACATTTCAAAACATTCACACCTGGACCTGGACTACAGCTTCCAGTGACACTTTCTAATCTTAGTGTATAGGATTAAAGTACTGAAATGCTCTCTTACCTGCTCTTGTCAGTGATTTGCTGCTGCATCAAGCGCAGCTTAGCGGGAGGAATGTAAGCGCCTCCAGTCCTCGTCAGGATTGGATCAAGCTCCTCCTTTTTCTTTTTGACTGGCGGCTCATTGGCCGCAGCTGGTTCCCTGTCAGCCAGAGGGGAAGCGGAGCGACCCCGCCTCCTGTGATCTGAATCAGCCTCTCGATTGGCTCGTCGGTCAAAACGGCCATCTCTGTCATCGCGCCGATCATCATAGCGATCCCTGCAGCAAAGAAGAAACAAAGGAGCAGGTTACTTATTTAAGTAACACTTTTCCTTAAAAGAAAAAATTCTCAGGTCTGAATATGACTTGATTAATCCAGAGAAACCAAATCATATCAACACTGTTATGCTGAATTGGATTTTTAAAGTTTTCGTTTTAGCAGGATTTATAAAAGTTGCCAAGCAGCTGGGAATCTAATGTCTAATAGGGCTGTGCGATATGACCAAAATCTCATATCCCGATATAAGACATCCATCGTCCGATAACGATGTAAATCACAAAAATGTAACATTTTCTGTAAATTCTGTGAATCTCGAGCAGTCGACTTGCGTGTAGTGTTTCCAGCTGCGCGTCATGTACCTGGAGTCGAGTGTTTTAACCAATTCATGAAACTATACATTTTTAGACGTAAGTTGTAACGGCCGCCGTTTTCTTTGTGAGTATTTATTACACGGCGTGCTGCGGAGAAAAGCCTGTTCTAACGTTTGAGTCTAAGGTTTATTTTTTAGCACCTCACGGCTCTTTTTTGCTTCTCATCCGTAAACACTCTGCATACTCTTTCATGTGATTCCGTTTATTTTGAAAAGTCTCAACAGGATCTTGAGCTTTATTGTGAAAGGTTTATGTGGAAAATAAACAAGCGGACACGCGATGGTTTTACCGTCGTTGTCGATAACGACAACGCATAAAAACAGGCGCTTGTTCGTCGGTAGTGTGGTTATATTAAATATAAGAGAAAGAGAGAACTTTAACAAATTAACATAGCCACTACAGTGACCATCAAAACGATGAAGAAATATTGCCGTAAACTTTATTTTGTGACACCACAAAACAAACGATAATGTAAAATGAAACGATAGATGCTTTTATATTGTCATCGGATATATATCGTACAGCCCTAATATCTAATATATACACACACACACACACACATATATATATATATATATATTTATTAGAGTGAAATCTTTCAGAAACTTGCGAAACTGAAACTTGTTAACCCATATGGACTAAGGGCCACATCGGTGCTAAAATGAACACAAGCCAATCACAAAAGCTGCCTTTACCGTGCATAACGTCTTCTGTCATAACGGTCCCTGTCCCTCTCCCTGGATCGCGATCTGTCACGTCCTCTTGACCTTGACCTCTCTCTTCCTCTGGATCTCGACCTGTCCTGTCCTCTGGATCTTGATCTTGATCTCGCCCTCCCTCTAGATGTAGATCTGTCCTTTTCCCTGGATCTGGATCTGTTTCTGTCTCTTTCTCTGGATCTATTTTTCTCTCTGGATCTGGATCTGTCCGTATCCCTGGATCTGGACCGATCTTCTTCCTTGGACCTAGATCTGTCTTGCTCTTTGGATCTTGATCTTGATCTCTGGAACAACAAATAAGCACAGTGACAGCATTTTTTTTTTAAAGTTTTCATGTGTTAAAATGATTTGGAACAATCTGAATGCAAGAATGATTTGGACAACACGGAGAACACCAGAGCAGCACAAAACCAAGCTGTCATTTTTAAAAGTTTGAGTTGAGCTGAAAAAGAGAGACAACCCAGCAATGTGAAGTCAGTCTGCCTCAGGTCCTGCATCAAGTAAAAGCATGTATGCACCTGGGGAGCTCGTGTCTAAGTTAACAGTAATGGAAACAAAGTCCTCTTTGATTTGTGATTCTGTCAGTCAACAAGTTAAATCTTTATTCAGTGTCTTCTTCACAGGGTACACTCATGAATCAGGCCAGCTGACACTAAACATGCTACTGTGTCTTACATTGGTGCCTCAAGCTTAAACTGGGTCCTGTTCTCATGGTAACCATCTCTTCAGACCAAGCAGTTTTTCACACCAGCTGTCCAGAACTGCAGCCTGAATAATCTACTGTGCAACGAGCAGACTAATGCACAGCCACATTTTCAAATGCAACATAATCATGTCTTAAAAGCACAACATGAAAAAAACTAAGTAAATAAGCCTCTTCTTCAGGTACTTTATTCAAAACTATTCTGACATTCAAGATCACTTTTAGGCAAGAATAGTAACAAAATGCTTCAGTTCCCATATCCACACAAAAATACATCGACTGGAAAAAATACTGTCAGTTCCTGAACTCTTCTTTGGACAGTATCTAAAACATAACATGGATCACTAAACTCCATTTACCAAAGCATCTGACTGCATTAACTTTTTAAGATTTTGGTGTTTCTGAATTTGTTGTTTTGGCTGGATTATTTTTATTACTGCCGTGAATCTCAACTATTGTTCAGTATAGTTGGGGAAATCAACTTACTTACTCCACCTACTACTAATGGCGTTTCTCACTCCAAATTTAACATTTGTGATTGATGAGGAATTATAATATACAATATATATATTTATAAATATAAAAAAGGCTTTCAGAATATGTTTCACCCTCTGTAACTGTCTGAAAGCATCTGATTCTTCCATTTCTACCGTAGTAGTCTGTACATTATGAAATGTGACAGACTAGTAAAAGCCACATTTCTTACTTTGATCTGAGCCACGCTGCTTCGAATCTTTCTCAGTGCTGATGAATGATGTTCATCCTCATCACTGCTGCTGGTGCTGTCTGAACTGCTTGAGGATGGGCTCCTGGAGGGCCTGCGGTCCACAAGACTTGGCTGAGGGGACCGTCGCTCATTGGGGCTTCTTTCAACTGAGCCAGCCTGCTGGGGTCTGCCCGATGCTGGACTAGACTCATTTTCTGAAGGTCCTGCAAAGAGAAAAACAGATCAAGAACAGTATTAGTATATCCATTCAATATATCCTTCTTCTTCCACTTACCCAATTTAGGGATACTGTGGGGCATAAGGCAGGGTAGACATCGAACAGGTCACCAGTCTCTCACAGGGCTAACCGGAGACCTATGCTTTGGACTATGACTATTTAATAGCTACGTCATAACCGCAAACTTTGTGAAACTTGTTAATCCATATGCCTGGTGGCCACGTAGGTGAAGGACACTCAAACAACTAAACAAATAAAATGGACACCAGCTAACCACAAAAACGCACATCTCTCTGTTACCATTCATACCATGCACCCTACAGCGCAACCTAATTACATGTTGCACCAATAGATTCTTCTCATGCATTTCAGGCTACTTTTTCACTGCAGTTTTTGAATTTATCAGTGAGAGAATAACAATCATCATCTCAACATAACAGATAATAATTATAGCATCAATATAAGGACTCACAAATGTCAGCAAATTCCTGATGGGAAAACTATTAAAATGGACATGTAGGAATGTACAAAGAAGATGAAAAACTTGAGACAAATATATTTGCCTTTAAAAAGAAAAAGACCACTACAAAACTGGAGGGAAAAGGTCCGTGCATTTTATTTGTTTCTATCAACTGGTACTGAATGAAAAACATGTACACACACTCACACATTAATTTAGACATAATGTACCAGTACAAACACAACACGTAAATTATGTCGTTAGCGCTACAAAGATTCATCGCAGAAATCTAAATCAGGTCTAACAGGTGGAAGTACACCAGAGTTCCCAGCAAGGGGTACAGAGAAAATATACAGAAAGACCCAGCTGCTGGATTCAAACCCAGGACCTTCTTGCTGTGAGGTGACAGCTAATGATTGCAGCACTGTATTGCTCAAGTATAACGGATGGAGATTAAAGCGACTCTTATTACAAGAACATTAAGTGTAGGGTTCACAGCAGCATTTACTCACCACTGTTTTCTCTCTGTGCAGGACTGGGACTTCGACTTCTGTCTGCAGAGTCCATACCTGGAAGGGAGGAAAAAAGACAACTAAGACATTCACTTTGATAGGAAAAATGCAGGTTTTAATTAAAGAAACATTTTTTTTCTACAAACTCCGTTACATTAGGAAAAAAAACATGTTAATAAGTTAATGAGATTTAATGAGACTTTCTGACATAGTTCTCTGACTCGATCCACGTATTTCTACGAAGGACTCGGTTTACAGACTTGTTGATCTGACATTAGTCTGCTCCAGATAAACTTTACATGAAATCACCAATACTCCATGCAGAACAAAGGATACATTTACTGTTTATTAACCGTTTTGTGAGTAATTAACGATAAAATAAGAGGGACGATGACTTCCTGGTAATGTTTAATCGCCGTACTGAGAGTCAAAAATTTTCATTGCCAACGGACGGAAGAGGTAACAATATGATAACTGGGCATTTCCTGAGGTAAATATTACCAAATGATTATGTTTGTACGTCTTAATAGCCGATTAAACACAATTTGGGAAGGTTCTTGAAACAGCAACACCACGCGTTACTAAAACGTCTTTTGAAATCAACTCCTCAGTTTTATCGCCATGTGTGTTAAGCTGAGCTAAAGTTAGCTTGTGTGCTAATGCTGTCTCGGCTAAGCTAAGCTAATCTAAGCTTCTCGCTACTATTTGCTGTCACTAAAACCTTTAAGATTTTATTTCCATATCACTTTGACAGAAGGCCTGTCCAGCTAAATTGCTTTGTTTGGGTTTTAATGTCCTTACCATACAATTTCCCAGCTTTCCTTAAATCACTGTCGTTCATCTGGCGGAAAACTTCCTATAATAACCAACATTACTTCCGGGTGACAGATTGCTTCCGGATTTCACAATAAACGCAGCTTGTGAAGTTTGGATTACTGTTTTTGTTGTTGTTATTTTTCTTTTCCTGTTTAACTTTGTTTCAGGATTTCACATTTATAAATAAAGTTGTAACACAAGAAATAAAGTGTATAAAATAAAATAAACACACACGGCCTTTTGTACACATGAAATTTGTTCATTTATTGTTTCATTTTGTTGTTGTTTTTTAATTTTCAAGGTCCTCAATTGTGGTTTAAAAGGGAATATTTAGCGTCAAAGCAAAGCTTTATTTATCTAAATAAATCTAAATAAATAAATCTTAGTTTATTTACTTAATCACTCAAAGTTTAGAGTTGCATATGTGAAAATTTTCACTTAGCATCCTGAAATTTCTACTTACTTCTGAGTGTCTTGAAGTTTTGGGATGCTGAGCAAGTGGGAATTTTCAAAATTTCCAGATACCATACACAAAATTTATTTGACTTATCAACCCAAAGGTTTGACTTTTATATATATATATATATATTCCTGTTATATAATGTAAATTTAAAAAAAACTGTATTTGGGTTTTAAATAAAAGTTTTGTTTTTACATGAATACCTTATTTGTTAAATCTTTGACTTTCAGCTGTATGGGAGGACACGTTAAATCACTGTTTAATTTTTTAGAACAGTTATGGAAGAACATTCAGGAAAACTAATGTTGTCATATGGTTTACTATATCATAATACCAAGTGTGTAGTAATGTGAAGTTCTGTGAGTAAGCCCCATTTCCATTAGCAATACTTCTTTTTTGTGTGTGTAGGTTTAAAGGTAGGAAAAGTACGGGCCAGTTGCTTGAAAACAAGACAACAACTGTAAACAGTTGACTTTTTTCTCAGAATTCTGGAAAAGAAGAAGAAAAAAAAGACGTGCACACTTTTTTCCCAGTGACCCTAATCCTATTAAATAAATATTTTAAACCTTATGTTTAAAATATTTGAAGGAAGTTTATATTACCCAGCACTGCAGGCCTTCAGACATCAAAACGATTTGAGCCTAGACGGAGGGAATAATAACACATAAAATACAACCCTGTTGGTGTATCCATCACTCTATTGCATACAGAGATGAAAGAGGAAAAAACACATAGTTTCTGAATTATTTATAGCAGTGTGCTCGGGTTTAAAAGGCCCCCGACGATGACGTAGTCTCCGCGGTACTTAAGCATCTAGCTAGCACTACTAAAGAGGAGCATAAAAGGAGTAACGTGTTTAAGTTCAAACACAAAATTTATAAAAGCTCAACATGCAAACACACACTTGCTAACGGTAAAACTGGGAGAGAAAATAATAAGAGTTAAGTTCACTCAGAGATGGAGAGCAACGTAAGGAAGAGAAGACAGGAAGAATGCCAAAAGGCAAGTACTGCTCAGGGGTATTTGATAAACTGGAAATTTTAAAACCTGCATGTAATGCCCTCATTTTTTTGAATGACATTTTAGCTTTGTATATGATATGAAGTTGTGAAACAGTCCAGGAAAACAAACTTAAGTATACTAACTTTGTGTTAGCAGTTGAGTGCAGGATAAACATGTTAGCTAGCAGTAATGGGATTTAAAGTAAAGAACAGTGTGTGTGACTGGGGCACAGAGGCTGTGGTGCTCATGGTCATAGTTATAGTTACATAAAAGGTAGCAGAGATTAATCTAAATGTAAGTTTATGATTAATTCACAGAATTCCACTGACTTTATACTGTCTATAAAGACTGTATAATAGGGAATGGAAATCAACAAGGATATCTTATGAAACATCTTACATTTTGTGGGATTCAGTTGTGTAAATTCACAAAGAGCAGCACGTCAGCTGGTCGCAGCTTGTACACAAAGAAAATCTATTAAAGCTCACATTAGAAATGATTGTGAGTAGTGATTCTTTTCCCCTCTGAGCTGAGCCACGTCACTACAACCACAACCTTAGAGTTCCTCCACCTGCTGAATCCCACTTAGTCCCTCACATTCAGGTAAACAAAAAAAAGATGTGTTGAGTTGTGTTCATATTATTTTATTGTTATATATTAACATAGCATGAGATTTAGTTAGCTCTGCACAACAGTAGCTGGTAGAAATGTCCTTCAAAGAGCTATTTTTTTCTTTCTTACACTGAGTACATTTCACAGCCTGATTTTACTGATTTTCTTTTATTTGAGTAAAACATTTGATCGGTACTTAACTTTAACACAAGTATCTGTAGATTTAACTAAAGAATGTGTTTGCTTTTGCCACGTCTGTTTATTTCCCAACCAAGGCCTGTGCTTTGGTGAGGGAGCTCTTCAAGATTAGAAGATATACAATCTTGTGGTTTCTAACAAAACCAACTTTTGGTCATGTTGCTTTTCTTCTTGCTGTCTTTATACACCCATATAAACTGACGAATCAACAGAAGCTTGATTCCAGATGTGTTTACAGCGATGGTGGTATAGTGGTAAGCATAGCTGCCTTCCAAGCAGTTGACCTGGGTTCGATTCCCGGCCATCGCAGCCTCATTTTGTGACAGAGCATTAGGGAGGAAAAGAAACCTGTTTAATGTCAGAAAGAAGACGATATATAGTATACAATAAATGGGTATTCAAAGTAAAATAACAACTTATTGTAAAAAGATTTTATTGATTTTCTTTTACTTGAGCAGAGAAGTTGAATCAGTACTTTTTAAACAAAACTATCTGTACTTGTGCTTAAGTAAATCCTCTCAATATCACCAGATGCTGCGTTTCCTCCTTTGAGAAGCTCTGCTCAGCCTTTACTGCAGTCTCCTCCAGTTGTTTCTTATTTTTGGGTCTTTCTGCATTTAGTTTTGTATTTAATAACAAAATAGCACAATCTGCTTAGCTGATATCAGGTGATTGAGTTGGCCATGGAAAGATTAAGGTGGAAAAAAGGTGTTTTACCAAGTGTGCAGAACCTGATGATCTGTGAGTAATACTTCTTACTGGCCAGTAATATTGAGAGCTTAAAAAGAAGGCAATTTGACTTCTTTAGATATTTTGAGGATGTTTCACTTATCATCCAAGAGGCTTTGTCATTTATAGATCAACTGGTGCAGAGTCCCAGGTGACACTGCACCACTAGGGAGGGCTGACCCTTTTGGAGGTGTCATAACCCACAAAGATGGTCGATCATAGTGGACATACACGGCCTCATTTACTGTTCTCTTAAACCAATTGTCATTGTCCAAAATGTGAACACTGGGATCCTGGGAAGCGTGTCCTTTCTTAGGTGTTGCAGGTGTGCCACTGAGTCTTGTCCTCCTGTGTTGCATTTGCCGACACGTCTACGGCATCCACTGTTTAAGTCTATTCACATTTAAGTGACATCAACAGCTCACATGATGGCAGGGTGGGGCAAGGTCTCACAGAGGTTTCAGTTGTCGGCCAGGTGATGGGAATGACTCACGTATTTTTCACACCTTTGCTCATGTGATGACTCACATTATCAATAGAAGGTTAACATCCCTAGGAAGTACATCAATTTTTATATACACAGCGCCCAGTTTCAGTCTCAAATTAAACAGACTAACATCATTTTAAATATAAGGATAGGAATCCTTTGCAGTCAATGAGTACTTGAAGTCAAGAACCCATGGACATCAGAGGTGGGAAGCAACAAAATACAAATACTTAGTTACTGTACTTAAGTAGAATTTTCAGGTACCTACACGTTGAGTTTTTATTTTTCTGATAACTTCTAACTTTTACTCCCTAAATGTTAACATGGATATCTGTACTTTTTACTCCTTTCATTTTCACAGCAGGCCTGTTACCTTATATTTAACATATTTGAGGGAAGTTTAAATTCCCCAGCACTGTAGGCCTTCAGACATCAAAGTGATTTGAGCCTAAACGCCTGGTTGCAGCTTGTATGCAAAGAAAATCTCTTGAAGCTCACATTAGAAATGATTGAGTAGTGATTCTGTTTCCCTCTGAGCTGAGCCACTACAACCTTTGAGTTCCTCCACCTGCTGAATCCCAATTAATTCCTCACATTCAGGGGAAAAAAAACCCCCATTCATGTACTTTGGTGAGGGTGCTCTGCAAGATTAGTAGGATTTGAGAGAAGATATACAATCTTGTGGTTTCTAACAAAACACATTTTTGGTCATGCTTCTTCTCTTCCTGCTGTTTTTATACACCCATATAAACTGGCCACTCAACAGAAGCTTGATTCCAGACGTGTTTACAGCGATGGTGGTATAGTGGTAAGCATAGCTGCCTTCCAAGCAGTTGACCCGGGTTCGATTCCTGGCCATCGCAGCCTCATTTTGTGACGGAGGAAAGAAAGTAATTTTATATCAGAAAGAATACAATGGTATGCAATAAATGGGTATTCAAATTAAAAAAAAGTTTGTGGTGCCTTGAAATAGTATTACTTTATAATTATCATATTAAAATAATATGACGTTCAGTTAGTTTGCACAGAAACAGCTGGTAGAAATGTCTGTCAAAGACCTACTTTTTATTTTCCTACTCAGATTACATTTCACAGCCTGATTTTATTGATTTTCCTTCTACTTGATTAAAGAAGTTGAATCAATACTTTTAAACACAATCTTTTAAACAAAACTATCTGTACTTCTACTGAAGTAAATCCTCTTGATATCACCAGATGCTGCGTTTCTTCCTTTGAGAAGCTCTGCTCAGCCTTTACTGCAGTCTCCTCCAGTTGTTTCTTATTTTTGGGTCTTTCTGCATTTAGTTTTGTATTTAATAAATAAATAGCACAATCCGAGTTGAGATCAGGTGACTGACTTGGGCATTAAAGAATATCCCATTGCTTTCCACTGAGAAACTTGTTTTTTTTCAGCATGCTTTGGGTCATCACCCATTTACACTGAAGTGCTGTCTATAGAGTTTGGCTGAATCTGAGCACAGGGTTTAGACCTGTACACTTCAGAATTTATCCTGCTTCTTCTATCAGCAGTCACATTGTTAGTAAACACAAGTTGCCTGGTTCCAACTGGAATTCC